TTCAAACCACTACAACTACCAACCATCTCATAGGTGGGACCTAAGATATTTTGACTAGAAAAACACTCTCTAAACTGAAATATGGTGTGTTTGTTCTTTCTAGGTGTACCCCCGCATTACAGCTAGTAGCTTCAATGGAGAAATATGCCATATAGTGTGTTATCTATGGTATGTTGAGTCAATGAGATTCTGAAACACTTTAGGCATGAACTGGGCATATCCTAATACCCTTAATGCCAGGCGAGCTGTCTCCATTCATGAGAATGTGTCTGGCCTGCTGCTGAGCCCAATTGCAGACCAGCCATGATGGATCAATGGGTTTTATTAAGTGATATTTATATTTGTGTCTAAAAATTTCCATGAAAGGTTTATTTATTTATTATATCCTTTTGATTTTTGATAAGTCGGCTAGCAGTTTTCCAAGGAAAGCTCTTTGATGGAAACAGACATTTTTGCTTTGGTGAATAATAATACAAGGCAAGGGGAAAAAGAAATGTATTTTGTCATTTGCGGATGGTCGCTCAGAGTTGTCCTTGAGCAATGCATAAATCTGGGCCAGACAACACAAATATGTGTTTCTACCAAGATAGCAAGGGAGGGACCAGTTTGTCACACTTCTACAGAAGGTGACAAGAGGCATCTGGGTGGATGGTAATTCTAGTTGTCAAGTCTTGGGAAGACCTCTTAACCTGGAGAAGCCTCGGGGCTAGGAAGAAGTCAGATAAAATGCTCTGTCCTCACAGTCTGGTAGCTTTAGGCGGGCTGGGGACACTGCGTCCTGAGAAGCTTTTTCCTTTGGAAATGTGTGTGAGTGTTGGAGAGAAGTTGAGCTATGAGCAGAGCTTGCAGCAGCCCAGATGGAAAATCCACAGGGCCTGAGGTGGAGATGCGCACTCATGGAAGCATGGGAAGGCTGCTGTCACTCACACTGTTGGGTCAGGTGGGTTGGTCAGCTTTAGGTCATTGGAAAGGTGGCGCTGCATGGCTGTGTCTCTGGGTTTCTTGTCTTCCTTGAGCTCCCTTACGGTGGACAACCGGAGACTGCAGCTCCTTCCAATGCACACACTATGTCTGTGTTGTCTCTCCTATGTCTGGTCTATCCTTTTATTTGGCACTGAAGGAGAAGCAAGGTTTGTGTCTTACCTTGGGATCTTTAAGTTAACGGACTCATTTTTCAGGCAGTTTTTGCCTTCCAAAACAACTGAACGGACAGCAGAGGTCCCCTGGGCGCCGCTCATCTCATCCTCTTTCTCTCTGGGGTTAACATCGTGCATGGTGAGTGCGGCACATTTTGCTGGGATCAGATATTTGTGGCCTCGTGAATTTCTGTGTTACCACAAGAACTCACTTTGTGTGAGGGTGCATTCTGTGGGTGTTACAGCATCCTAAGACTCTTCCCCACTATAATTGCCCCTTAGGGTCCATGTACTCATGTTTCTCTCCCTGCCTCTCCCTCCCTCCTCCCCTTCTTAGGCCCTTGCAACCATTGGTCATCTTACCCACTCTGCTGTTTTGTCTTTTCTAGAATATTATGTAATTGGACTATTTAAGTTTATGGCTTTGCTTTTTTTTGTTCTTATTAACATACGTGTGGCTCAGTTACTTGTCTATTTCTGTGATAAAACCATGAGCAAGACAACTAATAGAACAGTTTATTTGGGGCTTACGGTTCCACATGGTTTGGGTCCGTGGTAGCAGAGTGAAGGCAGCAGGCTATGCAGCAGCCAAAAGCTCACATCTTTGCCATGAAGAGGAAGCAGGGAGGGCCAGCTTGAGATGACTTTGAAAAGTCAAAGCCCAACCCCAGTGACATAGTTACTCTAGCAGGCCACACCCTCCTAATCCTCCCCATATAGCCATCATCTGGAGACCGAGTATTCAAACACATAAGGATTGTGGCCCATTCTCGTTCAAACCACCATATTATATTACCTGGTAGCTATAGGCTCCTGGCTATATCATAATGCAAAATGTATTTGGTTGAATTCCAAAAGTCCCTGTAGTTGTTTGATCTCGACACCTTACTGAGTCCAAAGTCTGAGTCCCAAGACACTCTCTTATTAATTGTAACTCCTTGTTATAAAAGAAAAGAAAAGTAGATTATATACTTCAATGTGCAATGACATAGAATACATATTACTGTTTTAAAAGTGAGGAATAAGTCTAAATTGTTCTCAGCACTACTGTTGTGAGTTCCTACTAGGATGCCTTGTAAATTCTCCTTGCAGTATTCTGTCACCTTTCTGTCCAAAATCCTACAGTCTTCCACATTCTTCCCCTTTAGAAGGAAAGTTTGATTGTCAGGCTTCAAACAGTTAGATTTGAATAGAGTAACGAGGAAACACTGGACCAAGGCAAAACTAAAATCTATCAGGCATACTCTAAGTCAAAGGACTTAGATGGCTCTGTTATTCCAGCTTTGCTGCTTATAAGGCTTCTCTCTCTCTCTCTCTCTCTCCCCCCCACTCCCCCCCCCCACCTCTCTCCCTCTTTCTCTCTTTGTAGCATGAGGACCTGCTTGGTTTCTGCAGTCGTTAGGTCCCAAAGAAAATCACTCAGAGGTCTACATAAGTTATAAACTGATTGGCCCATTAGCTCAGGTTTCTTATTAATTCTTACAACTTAATTAACCCATTTTTCTTATCTATGTTAGCCACATGGTTCAGCACCTTTTTCGGCCGGGCAGGTCACATTTTCCTTCTCCTATGTCTGGGCAGGACTGTGGAGGAAGCTTCCCTCTTCTCAGAATTCTCCTGTTCTCATTGTCCCGCCTCTACTTCCTGTCTGGTTGTTCCACCTATACTTCCTGCCTGGCTACTGGCCAATCAGCATTTACTTAAAACGTAATTGACAGAATGTAGACAATTGTCTCACACCACCTTTCCCCCCCCACCCCCCACTTCTCTTTCTCTCTCTCTCTCATACAACACTCCCTGGCAGGTATCCCATGGCTCTGTCCTGCCCAGCATCTTTGGTTCTCTAGCATAGTTCACTTCTACAGCTTCACATAGTGGTCTTAGGGTCCCTTGACTGCTCAGGACCTTCATGGAGACACTGCCCTTGCACACATTTTCTGGCCTCAGCTCTCCTTCCCTTTGTTCATGTATTCTTCCTGATTCCAAAGCCCGTGGGTGGCCCCGCCAAGTTGGCCTGCCTGCTTGGTACCCTCTCAAATAGCATCCTCAGTAGCTTTATCTTTTGTTTGGGGAACCAAGCTTCCTTTGGACTACTCTTTTCACGAGTTGGAAGCTTAGCTGGTGAGTTCTTGCTCTTGGGTTCCCCTTGAGATTTACCCCGGTGCTGAGCAGGGCTCTTTGCAAACTCCTCATCTCTTGCAGCACACGCCTTGGCTCCAGCATAACATTTCCTCGTGCCCCTTTTCTCCTACACCTGGGCAGTTTGTATTTCTTTGTACTTCACTTTCTCTTTTCCATTGTAGACCTGATTAAGAGTGAGTTCTAAAACCACACGGCAGAGTCAGTAGCGAGCTGTCTTGAAACTTACTCCACCAAGGAAATTAGTTTGTTACTTTAAAATTTAGCCTCAGAGAAGTTCTTAAGGGAAAGAAAAACAAAAACCAAACCAAACTAAACCAAACCAAAACAACAACAAAATCCAGAAACATGTTTTTTTTTCCTCCCTGCCTTCCCTCTGTCCCTTCCTCCTTCCTTTCTCTTTTTTCTTTTTCTAAATAATTTATAATGGGGACAGTCTCTAATGACGTTGCTGCTATTGTTTGTCCTCGGCATTCCTGTCTTACAGGCTCCTGCTAAAGTCTTTTAAGGTCTGCTTATGGTAAGCACTTTTCTATAAAATACCAAGATCTTACATGCTTCCCCCAAACCATGTGGTCAGATGTGTCGTAGCAACACCCCAGGACCCTGATACCAACCTCTATCCTAATTACTTTTCTATTGCTTTCATACAACACCACAGCTGCGGCAACTTTCCAAAGGGAGTTTGGTGGTTTGGTTTTTATCCCTGATGGTTAGAATCCATGAGGATAGGTGGAGATCCTGAGCTGCAGATAGCTAGAGTAGCAATTGAGAGATCACATCTTGGGTCACAAACAAGAAGCAGAGAGAGTGAGCTCACAATGACATGACTCCTTTAAGCAAACCTGGAAATCCAGCAAGGCCACATCTCCTAAGCTTTCTCCCAAGGTGCCGCCAACTGGGGCCTACACATTCGAGTGTCTGAGAAGGAATGGGGAAAGTCGCTCAATTATCACCACAGTGTTTAAGGTTTCTTTGTCTTTACACAGTGTGGTAGCTCCTTTCCATTTTCCCCCGATTAATACTTTATACATTCGTCTATTCTGGCTGCTAATAACATGTTTTTAAATCTGTGGACTATATGAGACTTAGTGTAACTGAGAAAGAAAAAATGTGATTCAGGAGTGATCAATGTTTACACTCCATTTTCTTTTTAAAATAAAAATATCTTTTCTTTTCTGATCTTGGAGGTAGATGCAACCATTTAAAAGTTTTCTGACAATAAATTTTTTCATATAGTAGTATATTCTGATTTCCTCTCTCATCTTTTCCCAGATCTCCCTCCTCCCTACCCTTCTGAAAATGTATATTTTTCTGATTAGGAAAGGAATATAAGGCTGAACCACTTGAAGTTGCCAACATTTGGTCAGTTTTCACGTTCAGAATAACAGTGTCACCGAGTTCAACACAGTTTAGGCTCCCAGCCTGTAGCTAACACACAGAAATGCAGAAAACAGGAAGGAAAATATAGGATGTTTATTATTATTATTGGTAAAGTAACACAGCATTCATTTGAGATGTTTTATGTCCCAGGGTCCATCTAGACTTGATTGTCCCCATACCTAGTCCCATCCCAATCCTGTCTTTTATCCCCGAGGAGGTGAGGTCACGGTGCACCTGGGGTGTGTTCAGCACTGGAGTTCCACCTGGACTCCAGGTGTGGTCCCTGCACTCTGCGGGGACCTGCCTAAGGAAGCCCTACCAGCAGAGCTTTTCCATCTGCAGGACCCAGAGGAGACCTTGGCGTTCTCGGACTCAGGCGCAAAGCCGTGGGACCCGCTGCGCAGTGGGATGGAATGCACTCTTCTCGGCATAAGGGCTATGCCAGGCTCCAGGCTTTTGGTCTGGGTTCCAGAGGCCAGCAGTGAGGCGTTCAGACTGTGGTCAGTCTCCAAGGTACTTACTCTGCACATTTGGGTCTCGTGTCTGTCTTCACTCTCTGCTGCATCAGCCTGGGCATGCCGCCAGTGCTGAGGTTCACAGGGCTGTAGTCGCGGGGCTCCCCAGATGGCTCACCTGTTGACTTCTACTCTCTTGTGGGTTTGGACCTTGGCCAAATCTGTGCTTTACTCTACAAGGTCTGGGCACTTAACTTTATCCAGCAATCTGGGGTGGCCCTTCTTGGATCCTCACAGGGAGCAGCTAACTCCTCTCAGGGAAGAGGAGCGCAGGGTGTCCTGGCACAGCTGTACCAGCTACAGTGGATCTCTTGGTGAGGCAGATGTGTGAAGATGTTGGTAAGCCATGGTCTGGAGGAGGAATGAGGGCACTCGATTGTACCTCCTTTCTACTAGGAAGAATCAGCTTCGTAGTGCTTGGGGCCCTGCTTAAAGATGAGGAATTCCAATACGTTGGCAGAAGAGCAGTAAACCAAGTGACAGACGGCAGTGCTGTGTGGCCATGCAGGTGCTGTCAGCCTGGCTTCTGACTTCTAGGTGGTTTACGCTCTCTGCCCTACCCACTTGTGCTGGACACACCGCTTCTGTCAACTCCGGGTGTCTCATTTCCTTCTCCCTTCTTTAGCCACCTCTCCCACACCTCCCATTTTTCAAGTACAAATCAGCAACCCAGCGTGTACACTGCAGTCGTCATCTTTCAGACTCGTCACGCTGTGAACTAGGCCTCGGTATCCTAAACACCCAGGAGACACGTTCCAGATGACCAGGGATTGCTCCTGTGCCTTAGGGCCCACTGACACTGCTGCAGCTTGCCAAGTACCAACCCTGTTCATCCTGCCTCTCTCCCGTGGCAGTCGGAAGAAATGTTCTTGCCACAGAATGTACCTCTGCTGCTGTGTGACTGACCCAGGGCCCTCCCTATGTACGCGTATGCTGCTTCTTGCACACCATGGTTAGACATGGCCGGCTTCTTGGAATCAGTGAGCCATATTTGCAGTGGCAATCATTTCCTGATACTGGACTTCTTACAGGAAAATTTTCTGCTCATGCACCGTGGAGCCAGGCCTGCCTGCATGATTCTCATGGATTGAATCCAACAAAACTCCAGTGAGGGGCAAGAGATTTGGTGGAGAAAGTTCATGAAGGTCACTAACTTGGAGCTGAGAATTTGGGATATGGCAATAGTGTAACTGGAGTTTGTTGGGTATATTCTTCGTCCCCCACATCTTTCATAAGGTGTCATGGATTGAGATCTGGTCTACAGGGCCTACATAGGTTCCACACCATTTTTATTAGTAATCACTTGATAAAGATGTTTCACTTCTTGCCTGAAATGGGAGTCATTTTCTTCCTATAGTTTTATTTAATTAAGTATATTGACATGCAATAACCTACTTCTTAAAAATGTCAATTTTGGTTTTCTGTACCTATGAAACCACGGCTTTGGGTAAGAAAGGAAGCTTGCCCTTCTATAACCAGATTTACTTGTCCCCTCTAGAGTCTCCTGTCCCCAGCTCTCCTTCTCTCCACTGCCTGAACTGTATGTGGCATGTCCTGTTACAGTAGCTGACATACTGTCTTTCAGAGGCATGAACAAAAGGTGTGTGGTCTCCGTGTCTAACTTCTTTGACTGCAGAGTCGTGTGTGTGTGTGTGTGTGTGTGTGTGTGTGTGTGTGTTGGTTAGCTTTTCATCACCATAATGAAATAAAGGCACAATCAATTTTTAAGAAGAAAAAGGTTTATTTTGGTTCATCATTTTATAGGTTCTCTTTTGTAACTGAGCAGTATCATTGGCTTTGGACCTGTAAAAGGCAGCATATCATCACGAGAAAATGCAGGGGACCCTCATGACTAGCATGTAAAAATGAAGAGGCTGGGATCTATTAATTTTTTTAGGCAACCCATCTAATAGCCTAAAGACTGATCCATGTTCCGCCAAGTTCCATCATCTTCCAATGACACTAGCCTGGATAGCGTGCCTTTAACACGTGTTCCTTTGGGATATGTTATGGATCCAAACTATATTAAAACTGTTGTGTGTATCAATACTTCATTCCTTATAGTTTCTCCCATTTTTTCCAAAGGTAATATTTTTCTAGGTTTTATAGTTACTTCTATGAGTGTTCACTACTGAATTAATTTTGCATTTTTGTCAAAAAATCAATTGATGTATGTGAATCCATTTCTGGCCACTCTGTTTCACTTATCTGTTTTTCTATATTGATATCATTCTTCAGTCTCTTGATTACTGTAGCATCAATAGTGAGTCTCGAAGTGGTTAGTCCGAGTCCTTGTTCTTGCTTATGGCTGCTTGGGCTTGTCTAAATACTTTCCACCATTCATTTTAAAATCAGCTTTTCAATTTTTATTTTTTTTTTCAAAAGATGACAGATTTTGATCAGAATTACATGATCTATAAGTAATTTGTAGGCAAATTGATGTCTGGATAACACTAAGCCTTATAATCTGTGCGTCTGCCATACCTTTCCCCAATCTTCAATTCCTCCTCTGCATATTTTTGGGCCACGCCTTCATTTTTCAAATTGTTGATGCTATCTTTCACAAATGACCTTGAGTTAAGTTAAGGACATTCCTGATTGCTGCCACACAATTGATTTTGCAGCCTCGTTCTTCAACATTACTGCGACATTACTAACTCATCAAGGTATAGCAGCTTTTCAAAGAATTCTATGGCAGTTTCTGCTCTTACTAGCTTGTGAGGTTAGTTTTCTTTCTTTTACATTTATAAATTTGAAGATTACTAACTAATAACAAGCAAAGTATATTTATTCGGTGCTTCTACAATGGAAGAGTCACCCACCGTCATCTGCCAATGGCAGGCAGAGGAGTGGGGAGAAAGAACAAGAAATTTTGGTGTGTCCAGGATTCTGTGGGTGTGCAGAGGTTTTGGGTGGCTTCAATGAAGGTGAAGAAATCCATGATTAGTTTTAGATGTAGTTTTTTTTTCAGTTGACATTCAGTTGGAAATGGAGGTAAAGTTAGACAAGCTATCAATAATTAATCATATTCTGGCTTTTTGAAGCTGATTGCTATAAAACATTTTTAGCTTCTTTTGGCTACAGACAGCTTGCCTTTCTGGGCTGCTTATTGTGAACCATAGGTTGGTTTCTTGGGCCACGCATTGCAGGTCTGACATCTGCTTTCATATGTAGTCGAACCATTGCCCGTTTTGTGTTCATTCTTTCAATTTGCATTCTGAGTGGCTCTCTTTTTCTCCATCACTAGTCTAGCACTATACACAAAGGAGTTACGGCATCTGAGGGAACAATAAACCTTTAACCATAAAGTATAGTATGAACCCAAGGCTTTCATAATTGCATTTACTCAAATTGAGGATGTTTGCTTCTATTCCTACTTCTTAGTTTTGCTGTTATTATTGTAATCTATGTATGTAGGATGCTTGCATGTTTAAGTTTTTGCTGTGGGAGTGCTGGGGTTGCAGACACATTCTAGTGTTCCCGTCTTTACATGCTTGGATTATGGGAACCTGGAAGCAGATCTTCACGCATTTGCAGCTATACTTACTGAACCCTCTCTCAAACCCCTATTGTTACTTTGATCAAAGTGCTCCCTTTCCCGCAACCAGGAATTTATGCTGGATTTCCTTTCGAGACCATTGCAACGGGATTTCGAATTCCAATGGCTGATTTTTAAGGGTTTATCCCACCCTTGTGTTCTTGAGATAAATTTCCTTTGGCTATGATCTATTATCTTTTTTGACACATTGTTAGGGTTGATTTTAAGAATTTTTCATAATCTGCACTCATGAAGAAAGCCAGCTCTTTCTTTTCTTTCATCTGTTTGGATACCAAAACCATGTTTATATCTCAGGAAGTTCACGTGTATCCCCCTCAATTTTTTTTTTCTGGAGAATTTGCGTGCAATGGTTCTCTTCCCTTCCTTAATATTTTGTGGAATATCCTGATGAATCTAGACAACTGTGATGTTTCCTTTGTAGAAAATCTTTTAGCCACAGATTAGATCTCTTTAATACACTGCCCTCTAGCATGTTTGCTCTTGAGTGAGCTTTAGCAGTTTATTTTTAAGCAGTTTGTTCATTTTATCCTAGGTCATATAATTGATTGGCAGGGCATCTTCCATGACAGTGTAGTAAGTGTAGACTCGGAGGCGATGTGTGCCCCTGAAGCTGGTGTTGCTGTGGACATGGATGCTGGTGTTGCCTTCCTACCTCTCCTCTGTTAGTCCTGAGGCTGACCAGTTTTACTGATGTGCTTTCATTGATTATTTGGACTCTTTTTCTCTTTTTTACCTTGTTTTTTTTTTTTGCTCTGATATTTACTTTTGTACCCCCTCCCCCACTTTGGAGACATTTAAGGTAGAAGCTAAGGCCGTCATTTTTTTTTTTTTAGTAATTTTATTAAATTATAAAAGTTTCCATTTCCGCCCCTCCTCCCACCACCCTTCCTGTCCCCCCACTCCCTCTCCTCCTCCCTCTCCATCCCTAAGAGCAGTCAGGGTTTCCTGCCCAGTGGGAAGTTCAAGTTCCTCTCGCCTCCCTCCAGGTTCAGGAAGGTGAGTGTCCAGACGGACTGGGTCCGCAAAATCCAGTATATGCAGAGGAAACAAGTCCCAGTGCCATTGTCAATGGCTTTTCAGAAAAACTCCAGGCCAGCCACATTCAGAGAATCTGGTTGGATTGCGTCCTCGTTCAGTCCCAGTCCAACTGGCCTTGGTAAACTCTCATTAGATCAGTCCCCTTGTATCAGTGGGTGATAGCATCCCTCGCAGTCCTTATTTCCTTTTTCATTTTCTTCCTCCTTCTGCTCCTCATTTGGACCTTGGGGGGCTCAGTCCGGTGCTCCAATGTGGGTCTCCGTCTGTATCGTCATCCATCGTCGGATGAAGGTTCTCTCTGATCTTGTCTTCTTTGCTCACATTCTCTTTCCTTCTGCTTCTCGTTTGGACCTAGGGAGTTAAGTCCAGTGTTCCGATGTGGGTCTCTATCTCCATCCATC